GTGAAGCAGATGGTGTATTGGTGTAGCTTGATCAGGCAGCTCCTTGTCAGAGCCCTTGTCACCCTTCAAGCGTTTCCCCATGAAAAGAGCACTGCAGTCTTCAAACCTGGAAGTGGCAAGTTCACAAATATAATGGAAGCCAGGCCTACTTACTGCAGAAACCCATGTCAGAATGTAACCCTGCACACCCAGTACTGGAAATCTTTGGGTTGTGTAGGGTGACTCGATCGGGGTAGGGTATCAGCTACTGCAATGCTCAGCCTAGATTTTGGGAGCAACCATTGTTTATAACATTATACTTTCTTGGCTGATCTCTCTGCTCATTATCCATAAACAATCCAGTCGGTTTGCAAAGGAAGTGACCTCTAATCAGCAAAGGGCATTAGAAATAAGGGGACTTGCTGCTGCTGATACAGTGTGCGAACTAGGAAGCTGGCTGAGGCCATCAAAACCCAAACAGTTTTCTGCCTGTCCATCAAAACCACATAGCAGAGTCTTCTGGGGATGTAACACTCCAGGCTGCAACTTGGAGGGAGGGGGCTGGACTGTTGAATCAACCCCCATGTAACCAAGGCTCCTTATACGTTGACCCCCCAGGCACATACGGGATGAAGTTTAGCCAGGAACACCTCCGTGTAATGTACTAGAGCTCTACGTTCAAAAGAGTTCTGTATATTTATTTCTGCATAGAATGGCTTTTTAAAAAGTGATTCCCATCCTCCCCCATGCACTACCCGCAGTCCCAAACAGCACAGTTCAGGAAGGATTCTTTCAGTAAATCATTTCATTATGTGTGTTGCTGTTGCTTAATGCAAGAAATCCAGAATATCACCCAACTGCCATTTGCCTCCTATGCTGCAGACAGCATGCCTCTGGGTACCAGGGAATCACAAATGAGAAGAGATGCCCAGTTTGCAGGCTTCCCACTGGGGCATCTGGTTGGCCAGGGTGCTTGACTTTGAAGGCCTGATCCAGCAGGCTGACTCCTCTGCTCTAATTCCCTGAAGGTCTGGATCACCTCCAGCACCTCTGTCCCATTGAGTCAGACCTCACAAACATCCCATGGTCAAGGCAACACAGAAAGTGAGCTGTTTTGTCAGCTGGGTGGGCAGGTGGAGGCATGATCCTAGGTCATTTAGGGATTTCTTCTTTCCTCCCTTGCTTCTTTCCTCCCTGCTGTGCAACTTGTGTTTCCAGCAAAGCAGATGAGAACAACCGGAACAGATTCCCCGTTTCATCTTGGGGAGGGTCATGCACTCTGTATCGCTCAGCAGCAACCAAAACAAGAGTGTGGCTTCCTTTTCAGCCCGGTGGTGCTGCCTGGAAACAGAGCAGCGGCAACGGTGGGTGCAGAGTCAGCAGCCAAAGCAGCCTTCGGTAGCAGAGTCAAGGAGCTTTGCAGTTCTTGTGGTCAGAAAGAACAAATCCAGAATAGCGGCAGTTGGCTGGAGGAGGAATGCCTGGCTTGGCTGTTGGAGTGCTGCTCAGCAAGCTTTCGCATCTTGCTTTTCATGAGCCTTATTATCGTTCATCTTCGTTAGAGTGACTCGGCAAGGTTCCCCGTCTCTGGCTTCCTTCCTGCTCACTGTGGCTCCGGAACAGCCTCCCTTAAAATGGTTCCCTCCAGCGAGAGGGGCAGTGGTGGTGTAATGGTTAGAGTGTCAGACTAGGACTGGGAGACCAGGGTTCAAATCTGCACTCAGCCATGAAGCTCACTGCCAGAGGGCTGATCACTGCCTCACAGGGCTGTTGTGGGGATTAAACTGTGCTGAGTGGGGAAGAATCACGTTTTCCACTTTGAGCTCCTTGGAGGAAAAGGTGGGCTATGAATACATGCAATCATAGAATCTTAGATTTGTAGAGTTGGAAGGGTCCCCAAGGGTCATCTAGTCCAACCCCATGCAATGCAGGGATAAAAATGAGGTAAAATAAAAGTTTTGGACTACAACTCCCATCATCCCTGAATGTTAGCCACAACAGGCTGGGGCAGATGAGAGTCACCATCCAAAATATCTGGAGGGCACCAGGAGAGCAAAGGCTGTTCTGGAGGCTGGAGAGGAGGATCAGTTGGGTTTTGCTCAGCGTTGAAAGTGTTATAGTGCAGGTACCGTTGCCTCTGTTGCCCACACTGATTTCCCTTGTCATCTCTGATCCAACAAGTGTGGCAGGCTTTTTTCCCCTATTACAGCAACCTCAAAGCCTGCACAACCTGTGTGACCAGAAGCAGGAGAGGGATATCTGCAGGCCTTGACACCTTCTTTCAAAGTGCCTTGATCCCTGGAGGAGGAAAAAGCAAACCACTGTAGCCGTGCAGCCAGTCTGTTGCTGGACTACAACTCCCATCAGCCCTGAGCAGCAGGGGCCGATGGGAATTGGAGTCCCTGGAGAGGCAACACATTGGCTAGTCCTGCACGCTTGTCTCTGAAATGCCACACAAATCCCTGCGTGCCCTCCCCATGCCGTTTTCCTAATGGGGGCTGCCCTACATTCCCCCCCTTCTCTTCGGTTTGGTTGCTTCTCTGCCTTGGGTTGCAATACAGGAGACAGCTGCAATGATTTCTCTGGGGATTCAAATCCAGAGAGAGGCAAAAGCTGCATTCTTCCTGATGTGGGGCAGCTGAGGCTAATTCGCCATCCTCCTCTGAAAACAACTGACTAGCACGAGCCTTTCCAGATACCAAAAGGGCTCAGATCCAGCTGGTTCTGGCGTGGTTTTCTGTAAACAGACTTCCCGGAGCCACTCCTGATCCATCGCTTGTTGGCTGCAGCCCAGAATGTTGCACTCCAGAGAGCAGGGCAAAGAAGTTCATGCTGTATTCGCAACAGAGCTTTAGTAGCAGGAGAAGGAGCTGTGCAGAGGTTGTTAAAAGGTGCTTCTGTCCTCGCATCAGGTAGCTGTGAAACTGCCTTGTCATCACCATTGCCAGCATGATTATGTGATGCAGGAATCTGCTTATAGGATGTAATACAACAGATAAAAATAAACAAAACTAGAAAATTCAAAACAATGTGCAGTACAAAATCCCTGCAATGCCCAGCCAATAAAATATTAATAAGGCAACCACAACACCCCACCCAGTGTAGTGTAGTGGTTAGAGCAGTCTTTCTCAACCTTTTGTCCCTAGCTGTGGTTGGCCAACAACTCCCACCATCCCTAGTAGGCAAGACCAGTGGTCCAGGATGCTGGGAGTTGGAGTCCAACAACAGCGGGGGACCCAAGTTTGAAAAATGACCTGGAAGCTCAGGGTTCAAATCCCCACTCTGCTGTGAAGTTCACTGGGTCACTTTGGGCCATTTGCCGTATCCCTGCCTAGCCTACCTCACAGGGTTGTTGTTGGGGTTAAGTGAGGAGGGGGGGAGCATGTATGCTGCCTTGCGCTCCTTGTAGGAAAGTTGGGATATAAATGCTAATAATTGTAATTAATAATTAGTTAATAGTAATAGATGGGCACCACAGGCACCAGCTCAATTACAAACTGCCTGAGTGAACAAGAAGACCTCAGATCCAGCACCTAAACAGGGGGATTCAGAGTGGCCATTGCTAGTTATTGTGATATTCAAAAGCAGATATTGTGCACTGTGCAAGAATGAACACATGGGGAAAGCTAGTTTTGATGGCAAAACACACAGCTTTCATGCTCTGGAAGACCCAAAGAGCCATCGTTCTTGTGATGGGAAACACACCTGGTAGCATTGCAGATGGCGGGTGGTGGAAGACTTCTGGCTGCACTGGGAAGTCGTTGGATCAAGGTGGTGATTGAGGCACGGGGCCAAGTGTGGCCCTCCAAGCCTTTCTCTCTGGCCCTTGGAGCTCTCCCCGAGCCACAGCCTTCACCAACTCCACTTTGCATCCTCCCTGAGCACCTTCACCTGGCTGGAATGTGCCCATAAACTCTGGTTGGATGGGGGGGGGAAGGGTTGAGTGTGTGCATAGCAATTGCCGCCCTGCCCACTGTTGCTTCTGGCCTCACCCACCACTGACACATAGGCCACAAAAAGCTGCCTAGAAGCGAATGCAGCCATTTAACTGAAAAGGGTTCCCCATCCTTGGGCTTGGGTGCTGGGCTTTGTCTAGGCTGGCCAGCTGCCCCATTGCTCTCCTTTGAGCAGCTGACTTTGCTGGTTGTTTTGAGAATGACACAGGTTGCTTCTGTCCTGAGAGTCTTGCATTGGCCTGAAATTAATGGCAGCAGTCAGTTTCATTGGCACATCCCTGGTTTCCCCTGTGGCAACAGGCTTTGTTTGGAGGGCTTAGATGCCCCTAGGCTGTGTGTGGAGTGAAACCCATTGTCGGCTAATAACTTAATTGCCTTAGTCCAATTCCTTCTTCACTTTCAGTTAAATCTCTTGGTGCCATCTGGTAAGGTGGCAGCAAAAATAGAGATAACCAGGGACAGAGCACATTTAAAGTTGAGTTTGATGTGCCCTTTGCACAGCACAGGAGGCTAAGACATCAGAATCTTGTTTCAGAGTCTTAACCTTGAGGCCCTTTCAGTTGCGATAGTGTTCAGGTGCAGAGCAAGCATTAGAGGGGAAAACCTCACGAGAGCTTAATTTTCAATGAAGCTCTTCTAATCAGCCAGTGTGTTTGTTTCTCTTGGGGAAAATGCTTTCACTGGGATTCCCTGGAGAAGTGCTGGGAAACCCTCTTCCCTTTGGCTCCCAGCTCCTGTTTGTTTACAGCAGCTTGACCTTTCAGTTTCCTTTTCAGGCTGTGGCCTGGGAGTCACCTGGTGGCAGCTCCTTATAGGGACAGCCTTGCCATGTGGTGGTGGGTTTTTAATAAAAAACTGGGGTGATTTGGCTTCTTTTCTGCCTGGAGAACAGAGTAAGCAATGAATTCCATGTAAAGGAGTAAAAAAAATGCTTGTCCATCTCTTGGTAGCAATTTTTTTTGCCAGGGGGAGGAGGGTGGTTGAGCTTCTCCTTTCATAGAATTATGGAGCTGGAAGGGACCACGAGGGTCATCTAGTTCAACCCCCTGCAATGCAGGAATCTTTTGCCCAGTGTGGGGCTCGAACCCACAACCCTGAGCTTAAGAGTCTCATGCTCTACCGACTGAGCTATCCAGTTGTGCATTCACGATTTCGAACAGCTTCAGGTGTTGATTGAACCTTAATTTATTTTTTAACAACTTTCTAGCTCTTCTGAACTGTCAAAAGGAGGGGAAACCATCTGAGTCCAGGCTGGGGAACTTGTGGCCTTCCAGCTGTTGTTGGACTACAGCTCCCATCATCCCTGACCACTGACCATACTGGAGGGGGCTAATGGGAACTGTAGTCCCAATGACACCTAGAGGCGTGCAGGTTCCATACACGTGCTTGGAGAGATTGCCTCTGGGGATTTCGTTGTATCTTATAAACTCAGGGCAGCTTGCTTGGGTTTGGTGGCACCACTGTGGCCTGGGCTCTGTGCTTCTGATATGGGGCAGAGAATGCTTCTTGGGGCCTAGCCCTCCCCTAGACAGAGCAAATCCCTGCAAGGCGTTTTGAAGGAGGCGCTACAGATCCAGAACTGGCAAGCGTCGGCTGAGGCCCTTGGAAAAGTTCTCTCTTTTGTCACAGAAAGCAACCTCTTAGCTCTGTGCTTTTTTTCTTTTCCACATTCACTAGATGGAAAGCTATGAGCTCTGGGAAAACTGCCTGCTGGGATGCTTCTGCTAGTCATTAGTGAGAGTCTGGTAGGTTTTTTTTGGCATTGGCTGTGTTTGCTCCAAACGATGGAGCTAGTCCTGAGGCAGAAAACATTAACCAGAAGGCCAAAATCAAGGGGCTAAAGAGAAAGGGGTCATCTCTCCCTGCTTGCTATGGGTCTGGACAGTGCTAGCCATCCTTGGATGTTGGCAAGATTCGTCTTCAGCCATAAGTGGGCATAGGGGAAGAAATTTGGTTTGGTTTGCATTTTAATGTGGCTCTCCTTAATTTGCACTTCCTGAAAGAATATGCAAACTGAATAGACCAGGGCTCAGCAACCTTTTTCAGACATGGGCCAGTCCACCATCCCTCAGACCATGTGGTGGGCCGGACTATACTTTGGGGGGGGAAATGAATAAATTCCTATGCCCCACAAGTAACCCAGAGATGCATTTTAAATAAAAACACACATTCTACTCATGTAAAAACACGCTGATTTCCGGACCGTCTGTGGGCCGGATTGAGAAAGCAATTGGGCTGCATCCGGCCCCCGGGCCTTAGGTTGCCTATCCTGGAATAGACCCTATCACCTGGGATTCTTCGGATTTTGCAGCAAAGTTCTGTTAAAAAATGCATCTATTAGGTAGAAAGTATACTTAAAAAGGCATAGTTAAAATAATATGCAAAAGTGTATTATCATATCTTCACTTATACATAAAAATGTAGTGTGTTGTCATGCTGCTTGCCTGGCTGCCTCTCGCTGCAGTGTGAGGAAAGGCCTGCGGGCTCAAGTGAGGTCTTTAACACAGAGGGCATGGGGAAATTAAAAGAAGCGAGGCTTGGAGCAAACTGTAGGGGAGAAGTGGGGCAAGCTGTGGGGGGATAGGTGACGGGTAGTGTGAGGTGTAAAGGGAGGGGGCGCATAAGGTTTGGGGGAGGGCAAAGGGGTAGACTGGTGGATGAGCACAGCCTGCAGGGGTGCCAGTCTCTACTTAATTATACAGTGGTACCTCAGGTTACATACGCTTCAGGTTATATACGCTTCAGGTTACAGACTCCGCTAACCCAGAAATTGTACCTCAGGTTAAGAACTTTGCTTCAGGATGAGAACAGAAATCATACTCTGGCGGCGGGGCAGCAGCAGGAGGCCCCATTAGCTAAAGTGGTGCTTCAGGTTAAGAACAGTTTCAGGTTAAGAACGGACCTCCGGAATGAATTACGTACTTAACCTGAGGTACCACTGTATTACAGAAACTGTATCCCTGTCCATACATGGATAAGCCACAGTTTTCGGGTTTCAGGCAGGAAAATTCCTAGCCCTACTTGGAGAGGGTGGGGATTCAACCAGGGACCTTCTGCATGCAAAACAGCTGCTCTAGCGCTGAGCTACTGGCTAGTCCATGTTCAGTAGCTCTTCTTTAAGAGACCAGTAAGGGCCTGTCACCCCTGCAGCCCTTTCAGCTGCCTGGTCATAGAATGATGGAAGGAATCCTGAGGATCTTGTCCAGCTCTCCCTGCAGGGCAGGAATGTGCAGCTGGCCCATATGGGGGTCGAACCTGCAACCCTGGCCTTAATCAGGACCACACTCCAAGCAGCTGGTCCTTGGCCACTTAGCCCCTCCTTCACCACTGGAGCACCCAAAGTGTCCATGGGCCCATAATGGCTTCAGGACAGTTCAGCAAAAGGCGTCCAGAGATGGGAGTCAGGCTGAGAGCTCAGAGTCTGAGAAAGAGATTTTGCAGCAGAATGAGGTGCTGTCACAACTTCTGCCCGTTGCTGTGTAAGGAGTCATCTGCAGTGCATATCTGGCTTTGGAGAAGCACCTGAGAGAAGCACCAGAAGTTCAGGAACGTTTGATCTTCCATCCTGCCTCTTTCCTGAAGGTGACCACCAACAGCGCCTTACCTGAGAGCTACAAATTTGGTTCTTGGACCTCTCCACTCTTCTACCCAGTGCTGCAAACTCACTCTCCAAGAATCGAGTTCCCACAGGTGTCCTATTCTCTCTGGTGATGGAGGTCTGGGAGCCTTGCCATGCCAGGCCTGACCCCTTTATTGCTGCCCACCCATGTGCACAACTTGAAGCTTTCTCCAAATTCTTTGCTCACAAAGGGGTTGCCCGGAGATGTGGTGGCAGATGCGTTTCCCAGGCTGCCTGTGCGATGGAAGCCTTCCAGCTGTTCCAGTGAATCCATTGAGTGGTATTTTGCCTCCTAGTGCATTGAGAGCCAGGAATAAATTGCTTTTCAGTTAGAACTAAAAGCATGCAATTGAGATGACTGCTCTGTCTGAGAGCAGGGTTCTGTACCCTTTTGCCAGAGAAGGACCAGCTTTTACAATGAGGGTTGCAACCTGTGTGTCTTTTGGAGGAAGGATCCACAGGGAAGCTGTTAATTGCCTGCCTCTGTAGCAAAGCTTTTTGTGGGGCAGCAGTATACCTGAAGTTCCACTTAAGATGTGCCATGTTTGATGGTTGTTCTATTTGGTTTGCATTCATTTGCCTCATCCCCATAACTATATGTGGACTGATTAGAATCATAGAATCATAGAGTTGGAAGAGACCACAAGGGCCATCGAGTCCAACCCCCTGCCAAGCAGGAAACACCATCAGAGCACTCCTGACATATGGTTGTCAAGCCTCTGCTTAAGACCTCCAAAGAAGGAGACTCCACCACACTCCTTGGCAGCAAATTCCACTGTCGAACAGCTCTTACTGTCAGGAAGTTCTTCCTAATGTTGAGGTGGAATCTTCTTTCTTGTAGTTTGGATCCATTGCTCCGTGTCCGCTTCTCTGGAGCAGCAGAAAACAACTTTTCTCCCTCCTCTATGTGACATCCTTTTATATATTTGAACATGGCTATCATATCACCCCTTAACCTCCTCTTCTCCAGGCTAAACATGCCCAGCTCCCTTAGCCGTTCCTCATAAGGCATCGTTTCCAGGCCTTTGACCATTTTGGTTGCCCTCCTCTGGACACGTTCCAGTTTGTCAGTGTCCTTCTTGAACTGTGGTGCCCAGAACTGGACACAGTACTCCAGGTGAGGTCTGACCAGAGCAGAATACAGTGGCACTATTACTTCCCTTGATCTAGATGCTATACTCCTATTGATGCAGCCCAGAATTGCATTGGCTTTTTTAGCTGCCGCGTCACACTGTTGGCTCATGTCAAGTTTGTGGTCAACCAAGACTCCTAGATCCTTTTCACATGTACTGCTCTCTTTTTTTAAAAAAAATAATATTTATTGAGAATTTTAAGATTACAAAGAAACAAAAGGAAAAAATTAAGGAAAAAACAAGTAACGTTTAAACAATACGAATCAATAAAAAAAAGGTCAAAAAGAGAAAAAACAAAACACATAATACATCAAAAGCAAAAAGCAAAAATAGACAAAAAATTTAAAAACAAATCCAATATTCCTAAATCATTAACTGTCATTACCTTGTTTCATCGACCTCCTCACACCTCCCTTTTTTGTATTCTAGTTGTTAATTATCTCAGCAAATCCTTTCCATCTTTCATAATATTCTGTCATTAAATTACCTTAATCTATTTTAACCTTATCTTGCCATAAAAGGCCCTAAAACTTAAAACCTAAATCTTATTTATACCAAATTCTCTTAACCATGACATATTCTTACATAATTCTTTGCTAAAGCCAAATAATTTCATTCCAACATTTTTCTAATACTCTTTACTTTTACAAGATTTTCCTAAATAAATTGTTTAAAACTTTCTTCCAATCTTCATCCAACGTCTCTTTCTCCTGGTCTCGGGTTTTGTCAGTCCTTTCTATCCCATCCATCTAGTCCATCAACCTGGTAACCTTATATCCGAGGCCCTTGGATCTCTTCCATGTCCCATCCGCAGATCTTCTTCATATTTATACCTGTGCTTTACTTTGTCTTCTGCTCCTTTCACTCGGGGAGACTCCAGCTTGACAATGTTTTTGTCCCTTCTCGACAGATCAGCCCCTTTTCCAAAGTCAACACTGAACTCCATGTGGTATTTAAAAGCATGTTTCAAAGTCCCTCCAAAGTTAAGGGCCCGCACAACTTCGAACGCCTCCTGGCCCAAAGCCAGACTTGAAAGATCAAAACATCCCTGCATAGGGGGGTCTATCCAGCCCCCCATCTCCAAGCCAAACAGAACTCTGTCTCTCCAAATCTGGTTTTTCCAGGTTCATTCGTCAAGTCCAACTCATGTTCCTGCTGGGCCACAGTTCCCTCCATCTCTGCCTCACTAGGTCCAGCAACAGCCTCCTCCCTCATCTGATCTGTCAAAGCACACTCCTGAATTAATTCCTGAGTGGGTTCTATATAGGTACCCACTGCCTGTCCAAACTTTCCGATCCCAACAGTCATCAAATCCATCTTCTCATGTAACTTTTCCAATAAAGCACTTGTCTTACAAAAGGCCAAGACCAGAGCCTCCGAGTACATTCTT